CTACAGCTGGCACCCTGAATTCAGACTTCTAGCCTCCTAAACTATGAGAAAAAAATTTTCAGTTTGTTAAAGCCATCCACTTGTGGTATTTCTGTTACAGCAGCACTAGATGACTAAGATGCCAGCCATCAGCTTGCAGCTCATATCCAGGCAGAGAAGGGCAGAAAGAAGGTCCTATTGTTGACACCGTTTCAGAGCCACCTGCCCTAACATAGCCCTTCTCAAGGCAGAAGTACAACAGGGTCTTAGTACCAGGTATACTAAGATCAAGCTCTAAAAATATTTTAAAGACTGTTTCTAGAACAATGCTTATATCTATGCAGCTGCATCCTTACTATATTGATAAAATCTTGCAATGTTCAAGCACTTAACCAGTAAGTATTTTGTCTATACAGATACTGTACACTCAAAATATCTTAATTTTTATTAATTAGATCAATTATATTCAAATTTTATACACGTGAATTGCTAATATTTTCAGTCATATATCATCCAAGCTTCTTTCATTTGAGAAAATTCACTAAACACACATTTTGTAGGTATAGTGGGCCAACTGAGCAGCCATGGAGAGAAAACGACCCTGACCACACGCCGTGAAAACCATCAATTCCAGGTGGGTGACCAGGCGGGAGGGAGGCACCCGCGACTTGTGCGTCCAGTGGTGGCCACCACCTTGTGGGCTGGGGTGATGGGGAGCAGATCCTCCACCTCATTTAATTTTAATTAATTAAACCGTCAATGTAAACAGGCCCAGGTGGCTTGGGGTCCCCATATTAAACGATACGGGTGTGGGCCAAGCAGAACCATCCTCCACAGCGGGGGCTAGTTTAGCTAAGGAAATGACTCACAACAGAGTAAGAAAAAGCTGGACTCCTGACCTCGCACCATGTGCAAGAGTGAGGAAAGATGAATGACTGTGAAAGGTGAACTAAAGAGCAAAGAGAAAGGCTCCAGGAGAAGACACTTAGGCCCTGGGAGTAAGGGGGGAACTGAGGGAGACCCCAAACACCAATCCTGAGGGACAAATGCTGGTTTTCAATAAATCAGACCAAGGATTTCTCTTCAGTGGTGGTCCACGCCACATTCTGAGATGGGTGGAACCTGGAAGAAGGAATCTGCCTCAAAGTGAACTGGCGCTCGAGCTCTGTCCAGAGTGCGTGGGAAATGGGCGAAGGACATGAAGACGCGGTTCTCAGAGAGCCCCAGACAGCTCTCAAACCAACAAGGCAGTGGTTAACTCACCAGTCATCCCAGAAGAACGAGAACAAAGACAGCTTTCTAGGGAACAGACCAGCCGTGTGGGAAAGTGAGCGGCCAGCGAGCCTGGGGGCAGCAGGCTGGCTGGCTGGCAGCACCTGGACACTGGTTTGAGGAAGGAGGCAGGGGCAGTGGGGGCTGCTAGGGACGATCATGGCCAAGCTCTGCTCTGAAGAAAAGAAGGGCAGGAAGGAAGGGCAGGCAGCGGCTGAGGGACAGGGTCCAGGTCCTGGTGGGATCTAGCGGCGAGCTTGCTGGCAGCCTGGCCCAGCAAGTGGGGATCCAGACGCTGGACGAGGGGGCTCGCTGCAGCAACAGTGCCAGGACCATGGCCAGTGCCTCGGAGGCGGTCGGGGGGCTCAGGCACCCAGACCCTGGAGGAGGGAGGGGTCCAGACACATGTGCAGGCCCCTCCCTCCGGGCCTTGGGCTCCTGTCCCTCCACACAATGCACAACGTGGGGGTGGCTTCCACAGCCTGCTGGGGCATAAGGAGATGCCTCACAGACAGAGCAGATGGAGGGGGTCTGTACCTGGTGGGGCCGCAGGGCCAGGGCCACTAGCCTGGGCCTTCCGGAGCTTGTCTGGGACCGGGACCTCAAGCCCCTCGTAGGCAGACGGCAGTGGGACAGACAGGCTCCTCCGCAGCAGGGGCCCGGAGCCATCTGTTGGGGGGTGGGGCATGGGGTGAGCGGGGTGTCCCGGGTGCCAACGCAGCTCCTGGGGGTACAGAGAGAGGGGGCCCACACACCAGCCAGCGGCTCCAGTCCACAGGGCCATCCTATTGGCACCTGTCTGGCCCATGGTGCTCCACGGACACCGCTGTCCCCAGACGAGGTCCACTCTACGCTCTGCCCATCCCACAGTCCTGGCCACCCCACACCCCGTCCGCTCCTGTGGCCCCACCCCACAGCCCCATCTACTCCTGTGGCCCCACCCCACGGCCTATCCACGCTGTGGCCCTGCCCCACCATCCCATCCACCCCCGTGGCCCTGCCCACCCCACGGCCCCATCTACCCCTGTGGTCCCGTGCCTGAGCCGGGCTGCTAGAACTGTCTCCCTTCCTCAGCGCTCTATACTGGAGCTGAGGGCCTCGGAGCACCCCTGGATGAACCAAGGCTGCGGGTGAAAGGAACCTTCTAGAAGGCCCTGGCCACACCTCGTGTCCTTGCGGGCTCTTGGCTCCTACGGGAGCAGCGTACTGCCCAGCCTGCTCTGGGCCAGGACCTACCCGAGTGGTAGTCCGCTGGAGCACAGCCCCACTGCAGTCCCCAGCTGACCAGCTCAAGGGAGAACGCTCCAGGCCACAGATCCTAAAGCACATTCTGCAGAACTCGAGGCCCCTCAGAGCTGTGCCTCCCATCATCCCATGCGGGCCCTTGGGCCCCTTTCACTGATGTCTCAAAGCTTCCTGATCACCCAGCCTGCAGGGACCAGCTAAGGTCACCCGGGGCTGAGGCCACAGGGGCAGAGGTCACAGGGCTGGAGGTCGCCCAGCCCCCAGGGCCCTGGGGCAGTACCTGGGTCAGAGGCCTCCTGGGGCCGCAGAGGCTTCTCGGGCCGCTCGTCCAGGCCCCCGGACATCTGCCTCTTTGCCACGCTGGCCACAGACACGAGGGGGATGGCCTGGCTCTCCTGGGACGTGAGAGGAGCATCAACAGGCCAGGCTCCACGGTGGCCACAGTGTAAGGCACACGGAAGTCCACCAGGAGGTGGATGCTACACTGCCCATCGTGCGGACAAGGCCAAGGCAGACCAGCCATTGAGGGGAACCCCCGGTGACACAGCCCAACAGGCTTTCATCTCAATGCCTGCGCCCCACTGAGTTCAGCGCTGGCCAGCCTGGTCAGAGGGCACGCTGAGGGCTGTGTGTGCAGGCCGCACAAAGCCTGTTTGCTGGGCCTGCTCCGGGCAGGCACTGGTGGGGAGGGGGGGACAGCTCCACTGGCAGGACTCATGGTCACTGGCTGGGAAGCTGAGGGCCAGGCTTGACTCGGGGGGGGTCTGGCTTGGACCCCCACCCGCAGCCTATGCCCCTCCCACACAAACCACAGTATCACAGGTGATCCGTGGGGTCGGTGCCAGCTCGATCCTGCCCAGGTAGACCGAGAGGGAGAATCAAGGGCAAGACAGGGGCACCAGATGCTGGGAGGAGGGTGGGAGGGGAGGCACGGAAGGAGAAGCCAGCCCAGACTTGGCAGCCACTCATGTGCGGAAAGCAGGAGCTGGGGCGGGAGGTGGGGTGGTCAGCATTTCAGGGGACGCTCTGACAACGGCTCTTTTGGCGTGGATAGGTGTCAGGGGCCAAACCACGACAACGCCACCCCCACACCATGCAGGTGACACACCAGGAGGGACAAGCTGTGACATCTAAGCAGGAGCTGGGCCTTCCCCAGAACTCAACTACAGGAGGAGAAGCACCCCGACATCCCCACGGTGTCTGCTTCGGGCACAGCAGCAAGCTCAGCCCGCGAGCCCAGGAAGGATGGTGAGGAGGGCCGTGGGCACTTACGGGGTTGAACAGCTCTGTGGTCAGGCCCAGGTGGTTGTGCAGAGCCATGAAAGTCACTCGCTGCAGCCGCACCATGATGATCTGCAGGAGAGGCTGCGGTCACCCGGCCAGCAGGCCCTGTGCAGGCGCTGGGCTGGGCTCCGTACCGCAGACACAGTGCGGTGGACCCTTGGGGCATGGACCCTGAGTGCGACCACCTCACCGCGGCCAGCCGGCGCTGACACTGGGGGCGGGGCACACGGGCACTCGGTACTTTTACCCAAGTGTTCTGTCTAAAACCACCCCAAAATAAACACCCCACCCACTGCCATCAAGTCAGTTGCAACTCATAGCGACCCCATAGGGTTTCCAAAGCTGTAAGTCTCTACAGAAACAGACCGCCACATCTTTCTCCTGCAGAGCCGCTGGTGGGTTCGAGCCACGGACCCTTCAGTTAGCAGTCGAGTGCCTTAACCACTGCGCCACCAGGGCTCCTCCCAAAATAAAAAGCTTAATAAAAACTACTCTCTTCTTTGGGGGAGTGGGAGATCTGAACAGCTCTGAGATTATGAATATTAATTTTTATTGTCAAATGTAACTGAGAGATAAAAACAAGCAGCCTGAGCTGCTCCCACGTCCCCCCACACCAGCCAGGTCCAGCTCAGGCGCTGCCAAGCACAGAGGTGACATCAAAAATCCACAGAACTGCTCAGTGGTGAGGCAGAGCTAATCGCACGCAGCCCAGCCCGTCCCTCAGACCACCCCAAAGCCAGTGAAGGTGGCCGGGTGCACCCACCTGCACCACCCGCACGAGGGTCTCGGGGTACTTCTCAAACACGCCTTGCAGAGCATCAGCCGGCAGTCGGAGGATGGTGGAAGGGGCAGCCGCGCGTGCCGAGACTGTCTTGTACGGGGCAGGGTGGCCCTGTGACAGGAACCCCCGTCAGTCACCTGCGGGCCTGCCCAGTGCCCTCCCATGCCCCCTCCCCACCACCTGGGGACAGTGCTGCTCCAGGCACACACCACCCCTTCCCGTTGTTCTAGACGGGCAGTCCGTCAGACTGCGCTCACTAGGGAGGAGCCCCAGGCGCGCCTCAAGCCCTGCCTCCCAGTGTGGCACCTGTACCCCAGCCCCCCCACTCAGAAGGCATGGCAGCACCAGCGGGGCTCCCCGAACACGCCTCAGAGCACGAGGGCCTGCCCCTACCCATCGGAGCCGCCTCCCCAGGAGCCACATGGGCCGGAGCCAGGACAAGCACGTGGGGGGCCTGGGGGAGGCCATGCCTGCAGGGCCCCCAAGGGCAGCCCCCCAAGTTCCCGGGAATCTGCTCTGGTTTCCTTTTTCTCCTGGGGACTGGGTGGTGCCAGACGGAACCCTGTTTTTTTAAGTGAGGTGTGATTTCAGTAGGGAGGGTGGAGTATCTGCTAAGATCTCCTGTCTCTACTGAGGAGCTTGTTACCGAGTTTTGAGAGCTCTTTGTAGACCCCACAGGTCCTCTGCCGGCTGTGTGCTGGGTAAATCCTCCCTCCCTGCCCGTGGCCAGACTCTTCTTCCTCTTAACAGTGTCTTTCACAGCAAAGTCTTGAATTTTGAGGGTGTCCAATGTAGCCTTTTTTTTTTCACGCATTGTGCTTTTGGAATCATATCTAAGAAATCCTTGCATAGTGCAAGGTAACAAAGACTTTCTTCTTCAAGATGTCCTTCTAAAAGTGTTACATTTAGGCTCTACGCTTAGATCAGGATCCATTCTGAGTTAAGATGTGCGGTGCGGGTCGAGGCGCATTCCTTCTGCATGTGGTCGGCCAATTGTCCTGCTTGGTTTGTTGAAGATTATCCTTCCCTGGTGAATTGCCTTCGCACCTCTGTCAGAAACCAGCTGACTCTAAATATGTGAGTCTATTTCTGGGCTGTTTGTTGTGTTCTGCTGGTCGATGTGTCTACTGTTACACCAGCACCTCATGGTCTTGATTACGGCTTTGTACTAAGTCTTGAGATCAGCTAGTGTGAGTCATTCACTTTTAGTGATTCTGGTTCCTTTGCTTGTCTATATAATTTTATAATCAGCTTGTCGATCTCTAGAAAAAAGCCTGTTGAGATTTTTATTGGAATTATGTCGAATAATTTGGGAAGAACTGCCATCTTCACATATCGAGTCTTTCAATCCAAGAAAATAGTATACCTTTTTAATTAAGGCCTTCTTTGATTTCTTTTCTCAGTGGTGCATAGTTTTTAGACAGAGATCCTGCACGTATTTTATTAGATTATTTCGGGATTTTTGGTACTAATTTAAACGCTACTGTTTTTTAAATTTCAATTTCTAGCTTTTCATTGCTAGTATGTTGAAATACAATTGGTTTTCGTATATTGACCTTATATCCTCGTAACCTTGTTAAACTACTCATGAGTTCCAGTAGCTTTTTTATAGAGACCATAGGATTTTCTGCATAATCATGTTTGCAAATAGAGACAACTTATTTTTCCTTTTCAGTTTGTATGCTTTTAATTTCTTCCTTTTCCTTTATTGCCCGGGCAAGGACCTTCAAGATGATGCTGAACTGGAATGGTGAGAACAGACATGCTGGCCTTGTTCTCGATCTTCAAAGAGAATGCATTCTGTCAGATATCAATAACTACGACGTTAGCTGTTAAGTTTTTTGTAGATGCCCTTTATTAAGGAAGTTCTTTTCTTTTCCTAGTTTGCTAAGATTTGTTTTTTAATCACGAGAGGATTCTGGATTTTTCCGATTGCCTTTTCTGCACCTAGTGAGATGATCACATGGTTTTTCTTCTTTAGTCTGTTGATATGGTAAATTATACTGATAGATTTCCTAATGTGGAGCTAATCCTGGAATAAACCCCATTTGATCATGATTTTTTACGAAGTGCTGAATTTTAATTTCTAATATTTTGTTGAGGATCTTCACATCTCTCTCTTCATGAGATATTGGTCTGAAATTTTCTTTTCTTGAAATGTCTTTGTCTGGTTTTGTATCAAGATAATGCTGGCCTCAAAACTGAACTGGGCCAATAGGAAAAACACTGTGTGGGATGGGGGGAGGGTAAATTTCTGCACCATTTTTCTGCAAACCTAAAACTTTTCTAAAAAATAGTCTATTATACAAAAATTAAAATAAATTTTAAAAAATTGAATAGGTAAGTATTCCCTCCTCTTCAATTTTCTGGAAGTTTGTGTAAAATGGCATAATTTCTTCCTTAGATGTTGGATAGAATTCTCCAGTGAAGCCGTTTAGACCTAAAGTTTTCCTTATGGGAAAGATTTTGGTCCCAGTTTGATTTCTTTAATGGATATAGAGCTATTCAGATAATCTATTTCTTCTTGAGTGAGCTTTGGTAATTTGTGTCTTTCAAAGAATTTGACGCTTCACCTAAGTTGCTGATTTGGGGCATAAAGTGGCCTGTGATACTCCCGGATTCGTCTTTTACGTATGTCGCCTCTTGCGTTCTGTTGACATTGGTAGTTTGCATCTTCTCTTTTTCTTTCCTGGTCTAGCTGGAGACTTTTCCATTTTCTTGATGGTTTAACTTATTTTCCTTATTGTTTTTCTATTTTCAATTTCATTGATTTCTGCTTTTTATTACTTTTTTTCTTTCTGCTTGCTTTGAGTTTAATTTGCTCTTCCTTTCCTAGTTTCTTCAAAGAGAAGTTTAAAGAAAATAGTCTATAGGACAGATTTTCTACACGAGCCACAGCCTCATCTACCCTGAAACCAAAAGAACTAGACGGTGCCCAGCTGCCACTACTGACGGTTCTAATCAGGCCACAACAGATGGACCCTGATAGAACGGGACAAAAATGTGATGCAGAACCTCAAATTCCAAAAAAAACAGGCCTACCGGATTGGTTGAGACTGGAGGACTCCCTGAAAATACTGAGATACTCTTCAAACTTTGAAACAAAACTAACCCGAGGTCACCGTGTAGCTAAATAACAAATTAGCTAAAAAAATAATAAATATCACCCATAAGTACTGTGCTTCTTTAAAAAAATCACCTATATAAGACCAAACGGTCAACAATTACTTTAAAACAAAGATGAGAATGTAAGGGAGCAGGGGAACTAGACTAGTCATAACAGAACAACCCAGAACGGAAATAATAAGAAGGTTCACACTTTGTAAAGACTGTAACCAATGCCACTAAATAATCTGGTAGAAATTGTTGAATGGGAACCTCAACTGCTGTGTAAACCTTTACTGAAAACACGATGAAGTATTACTTTAAAAAAACAAAAACTTAGATCATTGATTTGAGACATTTTTTCCTTTTCTAGTATAAGCATTTTAGGTTAAACAGTATAAAATAATTTTAGATTTTTAAGGTTTTGAAAAAAATGTATCTCCCTTACATCCTTTCTCAGGAAGCTAATATAAGGGTTGCTCTTCCCAAACAAGCAAGTAAACCAAGAAAGAGGAAACCAAAGGAGACGGTGGTGGGCAGGAGACGCCCAGGATGAGAGGGGATGGCAGGCAGTTCTGGGGAGGGCAGGTTGGAACGAGAGGAGGGTGAGCTCTGAGAGGGATTTCTCTAAGAAAATATAACCAGCATGGAGCACCTGATGTGTCCAACTGTTAGGAGAGATTTCTGTCAGTGGTCAGGCAGAAATTTATGATAAGCAACCAAAAAATGAGGCAACTGTTCTGGGAAAACAAAACATTGACAAAAAAGGAAATTCAACTCTAGTACACTATGTGGCTCAGTTGTGAGTGACACATATAAAGTGACAACAATACCAACATGACTCTGCTGGGGGTGGGGAGGAGAGGAGGCCCCAGCTTTG